GGGCGTAACGCAGTGAAGCTAGTTCAGGACTTTTCTCCACAAACGCCTTCTTCAGCCCGTTTCCTCCTGCGTGGAAGTATTGCTGTAAAAGAAGAGACAAGAAGCATGAAGGAGAGAAAGTAAACATTTAAGGTTGAAAGACTGATAATACACTTTGTGGGGGGTTTTCCCTTTCCTGTAGTGTGTAATATAGGTTTTTGTGCATGTAAGAAAAAGTCTTTATGGAGTTTCTCTCTAACTTTTAACTATGTCATGCATGTTTAGAAATGCCAAATAATTGTACAAATGTCTCGAAATTGCACAGTCTAAATGCTGCTGATTTTTGTTTGTGTTTTTACATGAATTTACATGTGAATGTGCAGGTCTCCACTTACCTTGATGGTCTCCAGCCCTGCGTCCATGATTATACACTGTTTGGGCGTCAAGGTTTTGGCTTCACCCCCTCCCTGCAGGAACCAGAGTTCACAGACTGACATTAGAAACACTTTCCTTAAAGGTGGGGTAGGTAAGTTTGAGAAACCGGCACGAGATACACTTTTTGTTATATTCCCTGGAATGCTCTTAACATCCCGATAGCAATGAATATCTTAAGTGCTTTGACAAAAAATCCATAAAATGTTTTAATCTGTGGAAGCCGTAGTACTGTAAAAAGCACGACCAATCATTTTAGCCGGGCCGGCTAAAATAACTGGATGGCCTACCTGCCTGTCAGCCTTCCACCTGTGCACAAACTTATCTCGTGCCCTCATTGGTCATGTTCGAGTTCGTGTCTGTTGGAGGAGGGGCGCTGTAAGGAAGTGGCAGATTTTTTCCGGCTGTGTATTTTCAAATTCTAGCGCACTCGAGCTGGTTTCTCCAAAATTACCTACCCCACCTTTAAGGGCAACACTCAAATAAATAAATACAATTTAATCCTTCTTATGTTTCTTCAGAAGTGGCGATTCTTTTTTTACTGCATGTGTTACCTTGAGACTGGACAGTCCTTTAGCTGCTGTGAGGAGCTGGGCACCCTGCAGAGAGAACAAAGAAGGTAAATCAAGATCACCTTGTGACTGCTTCCAATCATTCATACTTCATTATTTGTCACATTTCTCTCTACAGAAGAAAAACTGCTCGGATTCAACACGATCAACGTGTTCACAGAAGAAATCAAACTGGAGAATTTGCTGCCATCCGCCACTGGGTGTCAGCACAGCTCAACATAATCACAATTGATATCTGCAGATTGACTTAACCCTCTTGCTTAGTGCTCTGACGATCCCATTGATGACAGTCAAATGCTTTTTGCTATATGTGAGTGCAGGTAGCTGACAATGAATGCCTGAGCTTTGCTTTGAGGAGACACAATACACTTGATAAAATAATTAATAATATAAATATATTGATGTCTTAGGAGTAAACCATGTGTTGATGCAAGACCATGTGAATGCAGGTGTTGCTATAGTTACACAGGAAAACATGCATAAAATAAATTCACACTGAAATCCCTCCCACACCCTTACTTCTAGCCGTCAAAATGTGTGTATTTTTTGCTTGCTTTTTGAACATTAAAGCATGTAAAGATGTCACAGTAGAGGCACACAATACAAATATTAATCAGGGAAAGAGCATAATAGGGCCCCTTTAATACTTCTGCCCGAATTACAGCAAATTCAGTATATGGTTATTCCTATATATTATATATGATCTAAAACAGTCTGAAATCCACCTTGCAGGAACCCTGTTTTTGGTAAATCTGTGCTTTATAAAGAGTTTGGCAGCTGGTTTTCAGAAACTGTAATTAGAATATTTATTTTCAATACAGCCCCAGTCTGCTGCTCCATTACCACAGGAGCAAAAACATAACAACAAAGGAAATCAATGCAGCAAAACAACCTCATTTACTAAAAGGGTTGGCCACAATAAGCTAGTCTATGTGATTTGTAAAGAATGGGCAAGTACACCCCAAATATTGTCTTTGAAAAACTCCCTCTCTGCCCTCTAAATAAAACAATTAGTATGTGAAGCTGGAATCGTGATGACTGTCAATACATTTGACAGAAGAAAATAAATGAGGCATATTGATTACTCTTCATAAAACAGTTTTTTCCATTATCTTGTGTTAATGTTCTTTTTGTTCTAGCTTTGTAAGGGCCAGATTTGAGATTTTTGCAGCAGAGGACAGGTTTTGACGAGTAAGAAAAATGTGCAGAATTAAAAAGATGACACCTCTAATTCTGCTTTTATTGATTCTGATCTGTCTTCCTTTCTTTAACCTGCCTTTAGTGAGTCTGCTATAAGAGTGCAGTACTCTTGTTTATGGTGAGAGTGAGTTTAGTTAATGGTTTGGGTAAGGCGGAATGTAGTTGTGCCGGTTGAGGTTAAGGCTGTTCTTACCAGACTGTCGTTGCTCTGCGGCAGGACGATGGTCTTCTCCAGGCTGCTCAGGACGATCTTCCACAGGTCCTTCAGGATCCTCTTCAACACTGTCTTCTCACAGACGTCAGCAAAGATACTGAGACTGGACACAAACAAACATAGCATGTGAGCTACAACTGCAGTCTTCATGAAGTACGAGATCAAGTCTGAAATGTATCTTGATTCACAATAACTCCATTTCCAGCATAGACGAGGACAAATATTAGGACAAAGATACAAGGAGAGAAACATTCAAACACATCTCAAGAGCACTATGAGCACTCCTCTCAACCACTTTGTTTACGCCAGGTTGGTGCAGCAACGTGTTGTCTGAGTTGTTATCAGAGATATTAACACTATATCGTCAGAATACCAGTCGTTTTTTCTCATAACAAAACGCAAAGGAAACGGGGACACTAAAATGTGACGCACACCACTGGGACAGGAGTTCTTGCAGGGGATTATAAAGTTAGCCAACTGTCACTGGAAAGTTACCTAAAATTTACGTTTTAATTGGCTTACTGTATTTTAACAATGTTTTCGCATGATTCCTTAACATATTATTGCAGATCTGCTTTAAGCTAGCTAGCTAACGTAGCTTACCTAGTAATTTCAAATATACTGACAAACACTTACAATTATTAAACAGACTAACTCTGCCAACAGTTACATTGACAGTGAGAACAATAATATCTATAATTATCTTAACCCATTTTTAGACACAAAACGCTTAAGTTTTACCATTAAGTGTGTAAGGTGCACAAAGCAACACATGACGTTCAAAACATAATAAGATACACATATCAACCCTGTATTAACAATTTATGACAAATAGAGACGCGTACGTTTAAAAAGAGCCTCAGTAGATTATGAACGTTTGCAACCATTTCCTATTTTCGACAATAATATAAAAACCTTCACCAAGGTTGTTTCCATAAGTGATGAATAAAAAAGCAAACTGTTAATGCCCCGTGATACGAAGCTGCTTTCCTTTTTTTCTTTTCTTTGCCCATGACTACGGCTGAGAGTGCTATATACGTAAATGCCTTCACCTTAGTTTATAAAATCTAACATGTTGGTGTATCCTTGGGCAAAATAGTTAACCAAGTGGCTCCTGATGGCTGACTGTGTGAATGGGTATGATTGGGCGAATGATGGCTTCTATATTTAAAGAGCCTGTGACACGAACCCAACAACTGTTGTGCAATGAAATAGTGGGCTACTAGTAATCTCGAACCGTCAGTTTAAAAAAGAAAAAGCGATACCGTTCCGATAAATATCAATAATTTCGAACATCGCGGGAAAATTCCTTCGACTCATTTTGAGGTTTTGGGGGAAGCCGGAAGTGACGTCAATGCGGGAACGCTTCACTGTGCGGCGAGAGAGCCAAACACGGACAAAGTGTGTTGTCATGCGTAGAAATGGTGAATTACTGAGTTTAGGCACGTTAATAACGTTTTAATGAAGTTGACTACAGTATATTCATATTTGTCAGTGCTTTCATGTCAATTCGACGAACATAAACATAAATGATCGTGGTGAAGATGATGATTAAATTAGGATTAAAAATCGGTAGTGAGAGCTGCTGAATTTCCTCCCGTCGGATGTGATATAAAAACAAATCGATAATTTTTGTAAACTCAAGTGGATGAAACTACATTTATTAGTGCTTTCATGTCAATTCGGCGAACATGTGATACATTAAATGATCGTGAGGATGATGATTTAAAAATCTTTTGTTTGAGCCGGTCTGCATTTCCTGATGAGAAAACAAACCTTAGCTTTTTGTAGTTGCAGTCAGTGGTGTAGTGGGCGTTGGACGCGGGGGTACGCCGTACCCCCACTTATTTGAAGCATGATTTCTTTTTTTAATAGTCTAATACATTTAAAATCATTGCCAGCGTTATCAGTTGCAAGTGTGTGTTTGTTGTAATAATGACGAAAACATAATAGGCAGATTTCACAGTAATTATAATAAAAACGTAGCTCAAGCATTTATGCAACTTGATTTGAAGCGTGTGTGTGTGAGGGTCAGAACTGTGTGTGTAGGGTGACCAGGTGTCCCGCACTGTGCGGGACTGCACACACAGCATTTTTATTATTTGTCCCGCGTTCCACACATTGAGACTATGTCCCGCATTTGAGTGATAGTCGCGCAGAAAGGCCGGATCGGTTCGCTGACAGCCGGCACCGCCCTTTATTATTATATTGTCTAAACGGCATCATGTAAGTTGCGCTGACAGGCGACACAGAGGTCCCCAAGCCCCCCCCCCGTTGACAGTTCACGAGCGCGTCCATAGTGTCTCCCGTCCACCCAGTACCCCGTCCACCCAGTAAAACATCCCCACTACACCACTGGTTGTAGTAGTACACCAACATGGATTAAACGTGTGTTTTAGAACCCTGCGAGTGCAGGTTGCGGACATGGGTCTGCGTTAGGTTTAACCCTGCGAGTGCAGGTTGCGGACATGGGTCTGCGTCATGTTAACCCTGCAGTGCAGGTTGCGGCCAGTGGGTCCGCATGTCTAACCCCGCAGCTCGGAAGCGATTCCGGCGCTTATCAAGTCCCCATGTTAATCTCTCATTAAATCCATAGATCTCCGCAGCCAGCCGCAAGGTAAGAATTGCCCACAGCTCAGTACTTCATACTTCACTTCTTTTGGGGGTTCATCAGAGCGGTTCTTTCCCTCCTGAATGATCATCCTGCAAACCCGGGGCCTAATCGCCAAAACATCATTACAGTTACTTGTTGTTATACGTCAATCACTATTCCCGCATGTCATGGGTCCCGATAATAAACATGTATTTCATACATCACGTCTCTCCTGATTGAAGTAAAAAAGTAAAAGGAACTGTCCCAATTACAGTTACCTTTAAGCTAAGAGTCAGACTTAGATCAGGTGATCTGGCAGGGAATCACATGTCCTGCTCAGGTTTATTTCAGCATCTGACTGCATTGGAAGCAAAGATAATCCAGGGCTGAAATACATTGCTGGCACTTCTTCCTTTGTGGTGCCATTGTAATGATTGGATTGTGTTGTGAGCCCTGTTGGTCCAACAAATGTTTTTTGGACAAGGAAAGCTGACTTTAAGTACAGATTTGCCAATTTGTTTGGCCATTCTACCAGCCAATTAGACCCTCCAGAAAAATGCGATTCTGCGATCGCAGAATTTACCGCATAATCAGCAAAATGGCGCAGATTTTTAACAGGCCGCATATTTATCAAAAGGCTGCATAATCCCCGCATTTTTCCACACAAAGTTGAAAAAAAAAGATTTTTGCCTGCGTTTTTCTGGAGGGTCTAGCCAATGTTACAGTGTGATCTACTTGTCTTGGTGGGTTTGGAATGGTTTGATTCAGACTCATGTTAATGCCAGAACATACAAAGGAATTAGGTAACATCTTAAGGCCAATTAAGTAAAGTGCTGATTAATGCTTAAAGAGGTCCTATTGTGCTTTTTTTTGGCGCCTGAAAAGCCTCCATTGGACTCCGTTGTTTACTTCTGTAACAGTGAAATCACAATGTAACACTTGCGCTTCTATTGGCTAGCACTCCAACACATTGTACGTGATTGGCTAAGGGGCGGGACATCCCTAAGCGGTTGACCAATCTCAACACAGCCGGACAGTTAACCAATCAGAGCAGACTGGGCTCTAAAACTATCTAACATTTCGATGCATTGCAATAATTTATGCAATCAAATAGGTAAAACACATTTTAAAATAAGTTTTGTAGGCTAAAATCATGTCTGATTAAGCAGAATAACACATGTTCAGTACTTTATTTCACACTATGCTTTCACGCAAGTTCTTTGGAACTGTAATACAAGGGAACCTCCCATTTTTTTTTTTTTACATGAAACATTTACATTATATTCACATTTATTGTTAAAGTGCTAGCACGGTATAATAGTTATAAGTTACTGTCATCCAGGTAGCTTTTTATAATTAATTTATATACGGTCCACATACAGCTTTAAGTGGTTGCAGTTTTCAGTTTGAAGGATAAAATGGCCTTGAGGACTTGGTACCAGACGTTCCATAAACCAGTGATATACAACCTGGCGCTCATTATTACGCTGTACCTCAAGTATGCACCACATGCTACAAAGCCAAGTGGCTAGATGTTGCCAGATAAGACATCCCAAAGTGTCTTTGTAGAAACTGTGCCATCGATAACTGTTCTACTGTGTTATTAGATAGAGGACATTGGGCAAAGTGCCACAACATATAATGGGACTAAAAGAGGGCAATGACTTTGAAGTGACAGTGTTTTAGTATCTCTCAATCTAATTGAGAAATGTTGATTGAAGTGAAAGCCTGGACACGCCCCCTTCTTGGTCTGTTTCCAAAAATGTAAAGTACGCAGCTGTCCTTATGTAAACTGCAAGTGTTGAGCATAGTCAAACAGTTTTATAGGCTTATGGAGGTGAGTGGGACAAGGGAGTTTTGCCTGTGAGATTAATTCAGTTACTGGGTAAAAAAACTCCAATATGAGACAGGAGGACAAATCGAGATCAGTGTGAGTACATTGAAGACATAATAATAAGATCTGGTCAACCCGAGAACTGGTGCTAACTGTTTTGTATTTAGGATTCTTACCACTTTATTGGTCACATGCTAGCTGTTGTCCAAATTAGCCTCTATGTTTTTGTCTTTTGGGTGAGTTTTCATCATGGATGGTTTATACGAAGTGAATTAGCAACAAACAAATTGGTTTGTGAACTACAGTTTTGACAATATTTTCTTTCATGAACCTAAAAATACCCTTTGCAAATATTAAAGAAAACATGGACAACACAAAAACAAACCAATACCATCCCCTCTAGAGGAGCAAGTGAAGATGAGGAGCACTCAACTGAGACTACACCCAATATAACAACTGGCACTATACTGTATGTACTTTGAATTTGCACCAGCACACAGACGTTTTATATTTTTTATCATATTAACTATTATTCCCATCTGTTTATATGGTTACAGCCCAACCTAATTAAATTGTTGTTATTTTAATCTATACCGTTACTAAAATAATTATTCACATTATCCCTGTATGTACTCTTACCTATCCTGTGTTACCTTGCTGTTGCTGCTACAAAACC